TGTGTGTGTGTGTGTATATATATATATATATATACCCAATTTCTATTCTAAGAAGGTTCTTCATACATAGCCATAGCCAATAACAAGCTACCTTCTTTTTTTGGTGGTGCTTGGGGTAAAACCCAGGCCCTCTTACATGCTAGCCATATTTTCTACTGAGCTAACCCCCAGCTCATCAAGCAGGTGCTTTTTAATCCCATCCAGGTATGTCACTCATCTCCAAAGAAGCTGACTTTCTTTGGCTCAAATCCTGAGACAGGCTTCAGCTGCAGGCCGTTCATTTAGGAGGTGGCCCCAGGAAGTGCTGAGGTGTGTGGGGAATATGACAGTATGACAGGTAGGGGAGGAATCTAATATAGATGTATTGGTGAGCATCTTACCAAGGGGTGAGGAGGGGCGGTGTCTGGGGAAGGACACAGAATTTTTTCCACCTGTCCTTCCTAAAGGTAACAGCGTGGTATTTATCCACCAGTTTTTGCCCCTTGTTAGTTGTACACTGCTCCTGGGGCAACACTTTAGCCCCAGCCTATATGCATGAATGGTTCTGTAGCCAAATAAAGTCCGTAGCCAGAGAAGCCTTGCTCTATGAAGCCATAGGCAACAGTTCCTATGGCATGACCTCAAAGGCTCTTTGCAGGCTGGTTCCAGATGGCCCCTCCAGTCTCATCTCTGAGCATCTTCCCTGACATGCCTTCCATAGGGTCTGCTGTTGAAGCAAAGCAGTCCAGTAAGTTAAAATGTGTTGCCCTAAATGAAACTGGGATTAAGCGACATTCTACTCACACCAGAAACTCAATTCACTTACTGAAAAGGAAAAAGAGATTAAACATACACATTTTTCTTCCCACAGCGTTTAAGAATCCTTTACAACAAAGGAAAAAGGATTATTTTTCAGATTCTTTGTGTTAATTAGAAAACTCTTATTAGCTCAAGAAAAATATACTGGCCCTAAAACTTTTAAGTGAAGGTAAGACACTGAAAAATTTTGCTTTATAAAGTTAAATTTCAATTAGCATATCAAGGTTTTCCAACCTCCATGGTTATGTCTTTTCTAGCAACAGTAACTAAATTACTCTTTTTTTGTTGTTTTTTTGGTACCAGGGATGGAACTTGGGACCTTCCGCTTGCGAGGCAGGTGGTGGAACCACTGAGCTAAATCCCCGGCCCTAAATTACTCTTTTTTTGAGAGGTGGTGTACTGGGGATTGAACCCAAGGCCTTGCACTGAGCTACATCCCTGGCCCTTTTTGTTTTATAAGGTTTTTTTTTGGTACTGGGGATCGAACTCGGGTCCTTCTGCTTTTAAGGCAGGTGGCGGAACCACTGAGCTAAATCCCCAGCCCAAATTCTTTTTTTTTTTGTACCAGGAATCGAACTTAGGTCCTTGCGCTTGCACAGCAACCGGCGAAACCACTGAGCTAAATCCCTGGCCCTTGGCCCTTTTTGTTTTGAGACAGGGCCTTGCTAAGTCGCCTAGGATGGGCTTGGACTTGTGATCCTCCTACCTCAGTCTTTCAAGTAGCTGGACTATAGGCATGGGCCACTGCACTCAGCATGCATTTTAATAATATTAACATTCTTAGGGGAAAAAATTTACCAGTCATTCACATGTTAGTTCAAACAGAAATAACACCTAGGTTTAATCAATATACATTATTATAAACTTTCCTAGCCCCTGCATCGAGAGTATGAGAGGTTTCCAACTTGGAGTGTGAGGACATGGGTAAGGCAGGTTTGAAAAGGATTCTGACACAATGAGCCTTTAGGCCTGAAGAGGGTTCCTACTGTGATAGAGAGGAAGTATCAATTTACAGATTAAAACAAACTCAAAGGTGCTTTCTGAACATATACAAAAAAGGAAGCACTATCTTCTACTTTCTACTCTCAGAACTAAAGTTACTGTCATAAATACTAGTTTAGCTAAGTGGATTTTAAAAGATTTTTTGAGGGCTAGTCTGGGAGCCATGTAACACCTAGTAACACTTTTAAGTATTTTCTGAATAATGATTATTTAGATGTGAAGGAGCTGCATTAAGTATGATGAGTGCCTGCACACAGAACAGCAATGCAAGCAGCCCTTGTTACTTTTGTAGTTCAGGTTTTTGCTCAAATATCATTGACTCAATGCGGTAAACTTTGGTCTATTTAAAATTGCAATTCCAGGGCCAGGGATTTAGCTCAGTGGTTTCACCTCTTCTGTGCAAGTGCAAGGACCTGAGTTCAATCCCCGGTACCAAAAATACAACAACAACAACAAAAATAAAATTGCAATTCCATTCCCTGTCCACTTTTTCTAACATACCTAATATAAATATATTTATTATATTCATTGTCATTCCCACTAAAAGTAAATTCACAAATGCAGAAATCTTTTGCTTTGTTCAGTGAAAAACTATAAATTTCTGTAGGATTCCTCTTGTGTAGTGACACTGAAAGACAGACTTGAAGAGGGTGGAAAGAAATAACTTTCCCAGATGATGAAAAAATTAAAACCGATACACAGTCAGCATGAGTCCTTCTTCCCATGCCCAAAGCAAAAGTTGGTCCTTTCCTCATTCCTCCATAAGTAAATTACTAACATGTTACTTTTGAGCAGATCAACAATTATGATTGGTGTGGTACTCTCATATGATAAAGTATCCACACCAACTAATTCTATTCATTTTACAGGCTATTTATAAAGGAGGTGGTAATGCACCACGACTGGAGATCAGAATTTTTGCCCACCCACCCAGTATTTGTTCAATATTTGCCATGTGTCAACAAAGATAATTAAGATAGCATATTCCTGCTCAAGAAGCTCATTAGTTGCAAGTATCTGAGTTGCAAAAATTAGTAACAGCCTTTGATATTGTATTTAGAGATATCTAAACAACAAAGTGTGGTGCTAATGTAAGCGAGGGTACAAAGACTGGGAAGAAATATAGTCTTCTCTTTTTTTGAGTTAGAATCTCACTGTTGCCCAGGCTGGTCTTGAATTCCTGGGCTCATGTGATCCTCTGGCCTAAAACTCCCAGGTAAATTTTTGTTTTAGAAGTCACACTGTGGCAGAAATGTGGAGGATGAAATGAACCTGGTCAGACTGGAGAAAAGATGACAACAACAGTCTAGATGAGAGATGAGTCCAGCTGAAATTAAGGTAAGAGCAAGGGGGATATTCACTGGCAGGGAGTAGAGAGGAGTGGGAGAAAAAGGTGGATGGTGGTACAATTCATTGCGTGAACACTGGATGCTACATACTTCCCATGTATTGTATTAAATCTTCCTGACATGATTAATGAGAACTAATATCATTATTCAAATTTTATGAGGATCTGAGCCTTAGAATGGAAAGGTAACTTGTACTGGGAGAACTGTGACTCAAACTCAATGTGAAGATGGGGCAATCAACAGTGGAAGGTGTCAATAAAGGTGGTAAGACATATTCAAAGGACTTGCAATGTTGTTCAGTGGTGGCGCACTAGGCACAAGGCCAGGGTTCCAGCCCCACCACGTACATGCACGTGTATACACACAAACACACACAATGTCTAGGGATCCTGGTACTCTGAAAGGCTCTAATGTCCTGGCAAATCTATTTCATTCTAGTGGTGGAGACAGATGCTCCCTTGCAAAGATTCAGGAATAAACATGTGGGAGAGACATGAAGACAGGAGGAATAGATTTCTCCTAACAACAGGGCTGTCAAGAGAGGCCAGATCTACCATAGGAAGGAGAGTCCAAGAAAGGTGTTCGTTTCAACTTGTTAAAAGCATAAGACAGACATGAACATGCAGCCCGCGTGGAATGTGCCAAGAAGAAAAGGATGAAGAGGCGTAAGACCTGGGAAGACAAAAAACTA